ACCGACTCTGCAGAGGTGGTAGCTGCAGCCTTGGGCCTCTGTGGTTATCCCTCCGGTGCGGCCTTGTCCTCTGACCTGTGAGCTTAGGAGAGCCTACTGAGAAATCTGTCACTTGATACTGTTAGGCTTTCATACATACCCCAGTGTGATGCGTAATTAAAGATCACCAGGCCCAGACTAGGCCTCTGACCGCTGGCTGCCTGTTTCTCATAATAAACAATTCTGCAAAATTGCCTTCCAGTGAGGAGATCGCTTCCAAACTTAAATATGCATCAACTCATTGTGGGTGCATCGGCTTGACTACGTGAGATGTTTCAATGATTGCATGTTACCTGCCATTTTTCCTTTTAAAAAGTCCTAAGCGATTTTACTCTCTTAATTTCCTGAATAGCACTTCATATTTTGTTACTGTGATGCAATTATGCTTTGTGGAAGTCCTTTTATGAAAAAACTCAAGTTTTCCTACACCCATGACAACTTCTGTTTAAGTCAGTGGTAATTCTGCCTTTGAAAGGAAGGGGGGTTGGGTCAGGCTGAGATATTTTGGCAGAGCAGCAGCTGCAGCTTTTGTTATATCCTATCTTCTATGTTATATACAGGACTTCAAAATACAGACACAGAGATTAATCCAATTGGACACAGACTACCCTAATTAGTTATAATGACCCACCTATGTATGTAGAAATAAAAAGTAAAAAAGTATTATTTTACATGTTAGAAAGGTACAGCAAAGGTGAATTAGATTGTTTAATCAAGGTTACATCATGGAGGCTGGAGAATAGTTACGTACTCCTGCTACTCAGCCTTACATTTAAAACTAAACCTTGGCTACAAAATCTATTGTAAAGCCACACAAATGTCTAATTACTTAAATTGGCACTCAAATGCAGATCACTGAGTTAGATAGTTCTACTAATTATTTGATCTCGTGGCAAAAATGAAAACAAGTGTGTTTATCAAACAGCCTCCAGGATTTTAGAATAAAATCAATTCAAATACAGTGCGAGTGAAGCTCAGTTTAATGTATCCTTTGGATTATCACAGCAGCTGCCAAAGCCTCACAACTGGCAATTTATAGGCTTAATTTATTGACAGACATCATATGAGATCAGATTTTTTTAACCCTGGGGCAAAGGAATACCTTACTGAATTGGCTGCTCCAGGCCAAATTCCACCAATTTTAGCCTCTCTGTAATCTTTTTAAATCAACGTATCTTTTCAAAATGCAAGTTACAAGATAATTTTCTGAGCAAGTGTTTTTAAAGTAGTTGCCCTTTGTGACTGGGACGTCAGTAACAACATTTGAAAAGATACACAGCCACCGCAGTGGTGTAGTATGTAAATACAGACACAGCCCTTTGCGAGGTGTTGTTTGGGAGTCAAGTGCTCAATGGTGTAAAGTCCAGTTACTCTAGAGAGAATTTATCACTGATAAATCTGAGTATTGGAAAGGTCTAATCAAGTGCATTTTCAAATCTAGTTGATTGTTTGTGACAAGTGAAATTCCGCCAAGAGGTTATGCACGTAGTGGCCGAGCTTTCTTTTAAAGACAGATTAAAATAATTTGCATAGACGTAAAGATCAAGAAGTGGATAAAAGGTTACAAGGAAGTCCTGAGAGAAGGACTAGTTCCCAAAATTATTTTTTTTTTCACAGAAAAGCTTGCGAGTTCAGGTTTTGAAGGTCCTTAGAAGTAGGAAGCAAAATAACAAGGCGAGTAGAAGTATTTGCACAGAGGATTTCATGGTAGGATAACAACTAAAGAAACAAACGCTGGTTTACAAGTGAAGAGAGAAGAGCCCAACCCCCAAAACTCCTAAACATGACTGTACTTCCTCCCCAGCCTTTTGGCAGCTGAGTACATTCAAGAACCGTGAAGGACCACCACTCACAGTAGCATTTTATACGCAGCTATTGAAACCGACTGGCCTAGCAGCCAGCTCTTTCCACCGGCAAACACCCAACAGGCGTATCTGGCGTGCAGCGGTAGGTGGCAGCCGTGTTCCACCTAAAAAATGAGAGCCCTCAGTTCGAGGAAAAAATTTCCCAAATACGCTGAGATTTTTTCTCCTAACCCTAACATCACTTCAATGAATCAAAACAAACAGAAAAAAATGAACGTTTCTTAGTATGTAGCTTTTAGGCTATATTTATGCTGCAGTCATTTCTCTGAGTTCAGCTCACAATCGTACCCTTTGTTAGCGTAAGAATAGGTAGTCGAGATGCTTACAGCAATATCTTGGCATCCAGTTCACCTTCTTCGCATTCCACTGAGCTCTGTTCTCTTGGAAACAGATATCCATCATTTCCTCAGCTTGCTGGCTGACAGCTTGCTTAGGTGCGAGTCGGGCTGGTAACCATCCCTGCTGTGTGCACAAGTTCTTACAAAACCCCTTGCTGGTCACCAGAAACAGTTACCAGGAAGGCTCGAGTCCAAGTATTTAAAGAAGTAGTGAAAAGAGCTTTTCTACCAGAGAAAGCAGATTGTGAGCTATTTCCCCACATGCAAGGACAGGTAGTTTAAAACACTGAAACATACTCGGGCACTGCAGTAAACTTTTTTCTGTCTTTCAGCTATTGAGCCATTCATTAGGCTTCATGCTATCAAGATTTTCTTCTACAACAGGGAATCCATCTGTTTTTGCTGACTGCCATTTATGTGCACCATGCTATAATTCTGTAAGCGGATTCCTCATGTTACTACTGTTCCGTGATTGGCTGTATCCCTACTCAATGGCCACCAGTCTCCATTTACCTGCCCCTTTGTACTTAAATACTGCTTTAAATATTCAGCGTAATCACAGATTTACCACTTTTTAAAGATTGGCAGCTGACTGCCTCATAACAAAGTATCGCCCTCTCTATTGAACATAAAGGCTACTTCTGACTGTCTGCAGTGATACACTTCGTCTAACACCTTTTAGGGCAAGTTTTAGAAACAAGTTTTTAATTTCAGTTCAATCATTTCTACTGCTCATGAAAGTTCTTGTCTAAAGCATACGGATATTGCATTAGTTTATGTACTTTCAATATCCCATTTGGATTTTTGTATCTGCAAATTTCTTTACTTTTTTTTTTTTTCTTTACACCCATAATTGAAGCATTCTGGACTTTACTCCTGAAAACTTCTTTGGTCCTTCTTATCAGTGAAGAGTTTAGAGTGTATCTCTGATCTCTCATTCCTATATATTATCCCATCCATAGTTAAACAAGAGGGCCTTAAAGTATGGATGAAATTTAGCATCCATTTTAAACCCGATATCTGTAGCGATGTATTTTAGTCCATTCTATCAATTCCATCAGCACTACCACAAACAAAACTCAAAACGCAGATTAGTCTATAATCATTTTGGTCCCTCTACTGGACACTGATGACCATAATATATGAAAAACATAATTTGGACAAGGTTGCGTTAAATGCACATATGTTTTAACTGTCATCTCTATAAATCAGGATACATTGGAACTGCCTTTTTTGGTCTATGCATCTTGTTTACGCTAGTTGGAGTGGCTAAATCAAGCCTGTGGCATCTGTCATATGCTGTTTGTCACTCATCAAAAACTGCATTTGTATTTGCAACTAATGAAGTTGGCAAATTCTTGGAG